GAGGGTGTATCTGAGGGATGATAAGACTGATTATATCTTGATTATGGGAATGGGTGTATAGCTCCATTAATGGGTTAATAGAGTGCATAAAACAGCACTCCAAGAAATAGTCAATTTTACTGTGGGGTAATTTCATTTTTTTACTTTAGAGACAGGGTCTCACTCTGTCACTCAGGCTGGAGTACAGTGGTGAGATCACAGCTCACTGCAGCCTCCAACTCCTGGGCTCAAGTGATCCTCCCATCTCAGCCTCCCGAGTAGCTGGGGCTACAGATGCCACCACCACGCCTGCCTAATTTTTCTATTTTTAGAGAGATGGGGGTCTCGCTATATTGCCCAGGCTCATCTCGAACTCCTGGCCTCAAGTGATCTTCCCACCTCGGCCTCCCAAAGTGCCGGGGTTACAAGTGTGAGCCACCGCACCCTGCCTATATGGTAATTTAAAAAGTAAAAGTTTTTCATATACCTAATGAGTGCGGTATGCACTGTCTGGGGGATGGACACGCTTAAAGCTCTGACTTGGATAAGGCAATGGCCATATATGGAACCTACACATTTGTACCCCCATAATATGCTGATATAAAAAAAATTTTAAATAGAAGGAAAAAAAAATAAACATTTTTCAATAAAACGATGCACATCAAATCGATGTAACAGCACGTCCCAAAACAGGAATAGGATAGTCTTGGGGAACAAAGTGTTGAAGGGGAACTTTTGGTTTTTTCTGCTCTATGCTTTTGTAATTTTTTTCTGCAATGAAAATGCATTATTTGCTGTTATTTTAATATTTTTAAAAATCACAGCCAGGCGAGGTGGCTCATGCCTGTAATCCTAGCACTCTGGGAGGCTTGAGCTCAGGAGTTCGAGACCAGGCTGAGCAAGAGTGAGATCTCATTGCCACTAAAAGTAGAAAGAATTGGCTGGGCGTGGCGGCACACACCTGCAGTCCCCGCTACTCGGGAGGCTGAGGCAGGAGGATCTCTTGAGCCCAGGTGTTGGAGGCTGCAGTGAGCTAGGCTGATGCCACTGCACTCTAGTCTGGGTGACAGAGTGAGACACTGTCTCAAAAGTTAATTAATTAATTAATAAAACACAAATACGGTCCAATTGCAAAACATAAAACAAGCCACCCCCAGAAGTATTCTTACTTCTAGAAATTAACACAAGGGGTCTTGAGGAAAAAAATATCTCCTATCATACACCACTTCCTTTTGTGTTCTAGAAGCAGGGCTGATGGCAGGGAAGCCTCATTCAATGCCAACATGGCTGTTTAAATACATAAATCCTGAGCTGTGCACACACAGCTAAGGAGGGAACATCACTCGTTAATTTTCTCGCCCTTGGAACCCTCACACTCAGCGCGGCAAAGGGTAATGGTATAAATTTCCTCAACATGCCTCGTGCCATAAAGAGAAAAATGCAGCCTCCCTGGGCATTTCATTTAAATTGATTTATTTCCTTTGTACGAGGGACCACACAAGCGAGCAGGCATGCCATCTCGAATCAACCCTCCAGAAGTCGGTTGCAGACCAGGACTCGGCAAACTTTCTCTGGAAAGGGCCGATGTGTAAAATATTCTTGGCCCCTGGGGCCCTGCAATTCCTGCCTTAACTCTCCCATCAGCTGTCGGGGCACTTTTGTGCAGCCGCAGATGGTGATGAGTCAACACAGGAGCGTGGCCCCGTGCCAATAAAACTTTATTTACAAAAACAGGCGGTGGGATTTGGCCCGCCCGAGGGCCAGAGTTTGCCAAGCCCCGTTCGAATGAAGGAGTTGGTCTCTATATAAATTACAAAGCGGGCTGGGAAAAGGGCAAAGGAGAGACTGGCCCTCCAGGACAAGAGGACCAACATCTTAGCCTGGGATCGCATGAGAGAGGAAAGAAGAAGGAAGACAAGAAAAAATAGGAGAAGCCAGGCACAGGTGAAAATTGGACGGGTGGGCGGCTCGGTCTTCTGGTGGGAGGGAGTTGGCAGTGTCTGAGCCAAGAGAGTCAACCGAGGGGAGGTTGCGGGAGGTGAGGAGTGCCTTCAAGAGAGCCATCGGCACGGTGGCGGAGACACAAGCCAGACGCTGTGGGCAGGATAGCGGGTAAAGGGTGAGATAGCAAGAGTGGGGGCAGGGAGCTGGGCAGGAGAGGGCCAGAGGTCAGTGGTGGACAATGGGGTTCACGGGGCACTGAATGTTTCCAGGCTGAAAAGGAAAGGCTCTCATGGGTGAGTGAAGATTCCTGAGGTGCAGTAAGAGCTCAGATGGGCGTCTCAGACAGGGAGAAGGTTCACTCCCCCAGGGCAGTGGCTATCCAGTGGGGACAGCTGGCAATGCCCAGAGATATTCGAGGTTGTCACAACTGAGGGCGAAGGCAAGGTGCTACCCACGTCTCGTGAGTAGAGACCAGAGAATGTTGCTCAACAACCCTATGGTGCACAGCACGGCCCCCATAAGCAGGAATTGTCCGACCCCAAATGTCAACAGTGCCAAGGCTGAGAGGCCCTGCTAGAACCAAAAAGGAAGTCAAATGGAGTGGGGGGAGGGTGGAGACGGGGGTGGGGGCTCATGCTGTGGTCTCTGTAAATGAATAGGGAAGGGACAAGAAGCAGATCTCAGGAGAGAGGTGAAGGTTAGGAACAACTGCAGAAAGATGGCATAAGAAATGAGAGGGACCCAGAAATGAGGGTCTCATGCCTCAGTGAGCTGACCCACTAGACTCAGCCCCCAAAGCTCTGTGAGTTCCTATTTTAATTAATCCCACAATGCCTTCTTTCTCTGCCTTTGCAACGCCTGCAAGCAATTTCACCACGGAGCTGGCCAATCCAGAGGGACACGGAGAGGAGAAGCCCTTGACCAGCTCAGCCTGGCCACGAAGACGCCAGTGAATGAACTGGGGTGGCCCACCCCACAATGACAACTCCAAAAAAGGAGTCCTTCCTCCCTTAAAAAAAAAATCCCACTGATTTCCCTTCACCCACCCAACCCCAATGCCAATCAAAGTGCTGTATTGGCTGACGTTAAGAGATTAATGATCTGGAAAGTTCCAAGCCTTAGAGAGGCATCACATCTCATTTATTTGATAGGATTTTTGTTAACCATTACCCCAAGCAGGGCTGGGGAGGCTCAGACCCAAAAGAACAGCTATTTGTTAGGAGACCAATGCTCCAGGGACAAACTAGCTAGGGTTCGAATCCCAGCTCCACTGCCTGCTAGCTGTATAACCTAGTCAAGTTTCCTCAGATGTAAAAAAAAAAAAAAAAAAAAAGGGTGACAAACCCTCCCTCTTAGGGTTGAAGAGTGGATTAACTGAGATTATATATGCAAACCCTTTTATCCTTAGCAAGGTATTATCCGGAGAATAAGGAGCTCCTTAAGGGGATAAAGAGGCCAGGGTCTCCACCATCGGTGCCCTACTCTGGAATAAATATTTCCTGAACACCTTCTATATGCCAGGCACTGTTCTAGACTCTAGAAATGTAGCAATGAACAAAAAATTTAAAAATAGTTAAAAAAAAAAATAAGCCCCTATCCTTGTGGAAACAGGACACGTGCAAAGACATGGTAGATCCATTTATTGACCCCAAAAGCCCAGACAGACTCCCATCCACAATTCCAAAGCTACAAGGAACAGAAGAGGAAAAAAATTAATAAAAACCACGCGTGCACACACACAGAGACACAGGCACGCATACGTCTAGACAACTCGTCTTGGATTTTCTTAACAAGAACCCAAACTAACGGCCACTATATGGGGGGGGAGGACTTGTAGACATGGTGTAATTGACAGAGCCACTCCACAAAGCGGTGGGTCCGCTCCAGAGACTACCTTCTCATGCACCTCTCCTCCACCAGCAAATTTAGGGACTTCAATTCCTTCCCTCCCTGACCCCATCCTCATCATGATCGATTTCCTTTTATGGAAAAATCGGAAGCAGTAGCCTAACGGATATTTTTTTTAAGCAGACCCTCAGACCCCATGGCAAGAAACTCAAGTAATATTCTCTCAAGTGATGCTTCTGTCTTCACTACCAGAAAGGTGACAACTCTCAAGCGCAAGGAAGAGGCTGCCCACACAGGGACACCAAGGAGAAGCGCCCATGGGGTAAAGGGGTGGCTCAGAGATCAGAGACTCCTTCCTGAAGGGCAGAGCTGGGGGGCTTGGGAAGGGTCCAGGGAGACTGAAACAAGAGGCAGCAGTCAGCTAGGGCCTTGGGTGGAACTAGACACAGAGAGGTTCAAGTCCTCACTCCCGCACTGACTTTAGGGCAAGTGAGTGATGCGTCCTGGCTGTGCCTCGGTTTACTCCTCTGTGAAATGGGTACACCACAGTATCAGCGTGCAGTGGCCACTATGACCATCCAAAGAGATAAGATGGACCAGCCTGTGGCATATGGGTGATGCCGACTATAATTATCATGATTTAGAAAACTGTCACTACTTGTGCCACTACAATTGCTGCTGATGCCAAGCCTTTAGGGTTTGCCTCCCGACATCTGGTAGCAGAGCCCCAAAGCGGTAAACATGGACCCAGAGCCCCCAGTGGCCTCGGGCCTAGATCCAAGGAAGCAGGATGGAGGGGTTTCTACGGTTCCCCACCCCGGCAGCGGCACCCAGCAGCGGGGCGCCGGGGCTTTGGCTCCACACTGTAAGCGCTCGGGCGCTTGGCTGTCCCAAGCTGTCCGGACCCAGTGACCGACGCGTGTCGCGTCTCAGGGGCGAGCTGGGCTTGGAGGGGGCCAGGCACGGGTCGGAGGCGAGCCCGGCAGAGGCTCCCGAGGCGGGGCGGGCACTGGGGCAAGGTTCCTCGGGCTCAGATCGGGCACAGAGGGCGCGGAGCCGCGAGGCCGAGGCCGGGCGGGCAAAGGCCAAGGTCAGCGGCTTCCCGCCCCCCGCGGGGCCCAGGCAACTGTCCTGGCCACCGCCCCCCTCCCCCGCGAGGGTTCCGTGTTGGCGGAGAGGTCCGCTCCCCCCATGGGTGCTCCCGCCCACTCCCACGCCCCCAGACTCACCCTCTCCGGGGTACAGGTGGCCCGCGGCGCCCACCAGCAGCGCGGCCACGGCCACCAGCAGCGGCGCGGCCGCCGCCCCCCACCGGCCCCCGGCGCCCATGGCCCTGGGAGCGCGGGGTCCCCGCGGATCAGAGCGCGTGGCGCCCGCCCGCGGGGGTCATGCTCCGAGGCGGCCACCCGAGAGGCGCTGGGCGACGCGCGTCCTTCTCTTCCACGCCCGCGGCCCGCCGGCTGCAGTCCCCGCCCGGGAGGACCCTGGAGACAGCCCCGGGAGGGGCGCGCGGCCTCTGCCGCTGCAGATACCGAGCCTAGGCCCGGCGGTGGCGGCCCCGATCCCCGGCCGCTGCGGCCCGGGCCCTGTCCGGAGATCTCAGGGGCCGGAGCTCCGCTCTGCGCCCCGGCCTCCCGGCTCTCAGCGGTGCGCGCTCTGGGGCGCGATTTGCGGACTCCCGGACAGACGGACGCGCGGGCGGACGGACGCGCTGACGGGCGGCCGGGCACCTGGGCTGGCGGCTGGCGGGTGGCGGGCGGGCGGCGGGAGCCAGGGCTGCTCGGGCCCGTAAACAACGCGTCCCGTCAGCTGGGCCCCGGGCGGGTCGCAGGAAAAGGTGGCGCGGATCTGGCCTCGGAAGGGACTCGGCGCCCGGGAGAGGCCCGGGAGAGGGAGGGTTGAACCGGCAGGCGGACGTGCCACCCGGCCCCGCCCCGCCCGCCTCCCCGAGCTGGCCCCGCGCTGGGGGCTCCCGAGCGCGCCCTGACCTAGGGGCGCCCCAGATCCCCTGCGGGCCCAAGCGCCAGCCTCAGACCCTGGGGTCGCCCCGGGTGCCCGCCCCTGCGAGACAGATCTTGTCTTTCTCTATCACTTTTCTATTTTGTTCGTCACAGGCTTTGGGGGAGGGAGGGAATTCATTTTTATTTTTTTTTAAATATTGCATTCAAATACTATCGACCTTGGTGAATCGGTGTTTTGGGCACTCCCTTAAATTCTGCAGCCCGAGCGAGTTAGAGCCTTACTTGCCTCACCCTACTCGGGGCCCCGCCAGCGACATTCGTCCTAGAGCTCGCGGGCGCCCCAGAGGTCCCGCCCCGCGAGCGCCCCCGCCCAGCGGCGTGACCCACACCGGGCCCCTGGGGACCGCCACGTGCACCGCGCTGGGGCCGGCCAGGGGGTGCCCTCGGCCGGGCCTGCGCTTCTAGGTGGAGAAATGAGACTTGGGGGAATGTGCCGAAAATCCTAAAAGAGCAAACCGGGCGCTAGAAACCCTGGCCAGGGCGCAGGTGGCCACACCCGATTTTCAATGCGCAGACCGGTCCGTTTGTGTTTGAATGTCCAGCAATTGTCGTTCAGGAATGCCGCACGACAATGGGCGACCTCCCCTCACCGTAGGGGAGGCGGGGGCCTTAAGTGCAGGGAAGTCAGCACCCCTCTCTTCCTGCGTGGTCTTGGACCGGTGACTGTACTGTCTCTCTGGGTCCGCCTGGCCTGTAGAATGGGTTTCCCGACACCTGCAGGGCAGATTTGGGGAGGTGTGGAGAAATCAAACTTGGGAAAGCACCCAGCACAGCCCGAACCCCAAGGCATTCATTCTTCCTCTTTTTATCAAATAAAGCTTGCCCGCAGCTGGGCCCATTGTTCTCTAACACGCAAGAACCGACTCTGGCCGTCCCCCTGGCCTGTGACACTTCCGCCTGGCTTCGCCTCTTGGTGCCTATGAGCCTGCCCTGGCCACACTTGGCAAATCCCGCCCCAATCCCTTGTTCCCTTCCCCTGTAGTGATTTTCTTTCTCTATCTATCTATTTATTTATTTATTTATTTATCTATGAATGACAGAGTCTGCGTCTGTCGCCCAGGTTGGAGTGCAGTGGCATCATCGTATCTCACGGCATCCCCAATGCCTGGGCTCAGAGGCTCCTCCTGCCTCAGCCTCCCGAGTAGCTGGGACTACAAGGCATGTGCCACCACCATGCCTGGCTAATTTTTAAAAATTGTTTTGCAGAGACAGGGTCTCACTATGTTGCCCAGGCTGATCTGGAACTCCTGGCCTCAAGCGATCCTCCCACCTCAGCCTCCCGACCTGCTGGGATTACAAGCGTGAGCCGCTGCCACACTTGGTCATCTTTTTTCCTAACATGCCTATCTCTACCGGAAATTCATATTTATTATTTTGTTCATCTTCTGCCCTCCCCAGGAAGGCAGACATCTCATTGTTCACTGCTTAAACCCGGTGCCTGACATATCTGTTGGTTACTAAATATTTGTTGAATGGAAGAATCAACAAGCCATAAGCAATAAGGGATTTGCAGTGAGCAAATCGAGCATGATCCATTTCCTTTTGGAGCTCACAAGTTTGTGGGAGAGAGAGCCATGAGAATAATCATGTGTTATGGGTTGAGAGGGGTGGATGTGGGTAGGGAAAGATTGGCTGAGGCAATGATTTCGACCTGAAATCTAAACAAGAGGAGAAACCAGCCAGGAGAAGCCCCCGTAAGTGTTCCAGGTAGAAGGAACAGCATGTGCAAAGGCCCAGAGGATGGTGGGCTTGCATTCTTGCAACTGAACCATGTAGCTGTAGAAAGATAAGAGAAGAAACTGGAGCTGTGGGCAGGAACTATAGTTGACTCTTGAACAACATGGGTTTGAAGCATGCAGGTCCACTTATGTGTAGACTTTTTTCAGTAAACATACTGCAAAAGATTTTGGAGGTTTGCAACCATTTTAAAAAACCCAAAGAGGAGCCGTGTAGCCTAGAAATATAGAAAAGAAAATTAAGAAAATCTTAGATATGTCATGAATGCCTAAAATACATTAAGGTGCTAGTCTAGTGTATCATTTACTACTATAAAATATACAGAAATCTACAGGGTGTCCCAAAAGTGGACATACATAGAGAAAATGGGAAATTGTAGCCAAGTGTACCTTTATGTATAAAATATTCGTTACAAATTTTTTCCTTTGGGAAGGAAAGATACACAATGCCATTCCTAACCAAGAGGAATGTGAACAAACACAAAGATGCAGTATCAAATCATAACTGCATAAAATTAACTGTAGTATATATGGACTACTGTAATAATTTTGTAGCCCCTTACTGTTGCTACTGTGGTGAGCTCAAATGTTAGCAGCACCTGCTTGGAAAGCCGCATGACACTAATCATCTCTCTAGGAAATTGCATATTGCAGTGAAAAAATAAATAAATAAACTCTTGCAGTTTTCGCGTATTTTTCATCTTGTTTTGTGCAATACCATAAACTCTGAATAACAGCATGGTACCTATACGGACTGTGACTAGTGAAGTTGGAAATGCTCCCAAGAAGTAGAGAAAAATCATGACATTACGAGAAAAAGTTGAATTGCTTGATACGTACCGTAGATTGAGGTCTGCAGCTGCAATCGCCCGTTTCAGACATCTGATTCATTTTGTAAACGGGCGATGTAAACGTGTAATACTGATAAATGCAGGATTGTGAATGCTATTTTCTCTTCCTTACGATTTTCTTAATAACATTTTCTTCTTGCTAGCTTACTTTACTGTTAAGAATGCATTCTGTAGCCGTGGGTGGGTCAAAAAGAAAATAGTATAAATATTAAAAAAAAAAAAAAAGAATGCAATAATAGTGCTAATAGTGCTACATGTTAATGTTAATGTTGCAATGTTAATAATACACACAATATACAAAACGTGTTCATTGACTGCTTATATTCTTGGAAAAGATTCCAGTCGACAGTAGGCTATTAGTAGTTAAGTTTTGGGGGAGTCAAAAGTTATATGCATACCATTCCAGCAGCTGCAAAAATAGAAAAAAAATTTAAATAAAAGGCTGGGTGCAGCTGGGCTCATGTCTGTAATCCCAGCACTCTGGGAGGCCGAGGTGGGAGGATCGCTTGAGCTCAGGAGTTCAAGACCAGCCTGAGCAAGAGCAAGACTCGTCTCTACTAAAATTAGAAAAAAAAAAAAATAGCTGGGCATCCTGGCAAGCGTCTGTAGTCCCAGCTACTCGAGAGGCTGAGGCAGGAGCATCGCTTGAGCCCAGAAGTTGGAGGTGGCTGTGAACTACGATGATGCCACTCTACCCAGGACGACAGGGCAAGACTCTTGATTCAAAACAAACAAATTAATTAAATTAAATTGTTATACGCAGATTTCTGACTGCATTGTTCAAGAGTCAACTGTCGCAGGTGCAGGACTTCGAATATGCCATGTGAGGATCTGCTTTTCTTTCTTTTTTCTTTTTTTTTTTTCTTATTTTAACATGAAAACAACAGGGAGCCACTAGAAGTCCAACGTGAGTCTCACTGGGCTAAAATCAAGGTGTGTAAGAGCTGGTCCCGCCTGGGGGTTCCAGGGGACAAGCCATCTCCTGCCTTTTCTAGCATCTAGAGGCCACTACGTCCCTTGGCTTGGGGCCCTCCCTACCCCTCCAGAGCCAGCAGTCTCTCTTCCAGTCTCTCTGCCTCCCACCCTCCTGCCTCTTGTCTGAGGACCATGACATTAGGCCACATAGATGATCCAGAATGACCTACTCTCTCAAGTCCTTAACTCAACCCCATCTGCAAATTGCCCTTTGCCATATAAGGTGACATTTTCACAGACTCCAGAGATTTAGGGGGGAGGGACCATTATTCTGCCTACCGTACCCATCACCCTGGTCAATCTCTAATACGTTTCACTGTTTTATTTTCTCATAGTATTTATTACTCCAAAGAAGGTTTGTCTATTTAATTGTTTCTTTTTTCTTTTTTTTAATTTTGTCTCCCCCACCACTAAGATGTGAGACTCGTGAGAGCGAGTATTTGTTTCATTTAATTTGCTTAATTCATAGCTGTCCTCCTGGTGCCTGGTATATAACAAGAGTTTGATACGACTCTGTTGAATGAATGAATAGCGTGGACAAAATAAAATTGCCCGTAGCCTTCATCTGATCAGCACTAGGTAAGACGTAGAATAGAGGATTGCACCTTTCTTTGTACCTTAGTTCGCTGGGGCTGCTCTAACAAAATAACATAGACCGGGCGGTTTGTAAACAACACAAATTTATTTCTCACAGTTTGGAGGCGGGGAAGCCCAAGATCAAGACGCTAGCAGATTCAGGTGTCTGGTGAGCCCGCTTCCTGGTTCATAAACTACTGTCTTTTTGTTGCACGTGGAAGGCGTGAGGGAGATTCAGGGTCTCTTTTTCTAAGAACACTAATTCCATTCACAGGGCTCCGCCACGACCTGTCACCTCCCAAAGCCCCCATTTCCAAAAGTCATCACCTTGGGGATCAGGTTTTAACATATACATTCTGGAGGGAAAACAAAACAGCCTATATATATATATATATTGCACTTTTTTCAGGTTTGATTTTGTTTTCCTTAACCAATACTTTTATAGTGTATGTTTCATGCCAGGCATTTGGGGGTTTAGGGACACGATCATTCCGGCCGGTCTTGGACAGCGCAATGCTCTGATGCCACTTGCTGTTCCCTCCTGGAGCTGGTGGGTAGGAATTTACCATTTAGTAGCTCTCAGTCGAGCAGTTGTAATTCCGTAAAAGCTACCCATTACATCCGACGTAAAAACCTGCAGCGTCGAAGACATCTGTGTCTGATTACAAAGTAGCTCGACTAGAATCAAAGCA